AGTAACTTGTCTAAAGTTGTACAGCCAGTTAAATGGCAGAGCTGGGATTTGAACACATGCAATCTGTCCCATAGTCTACACCATTATGCATGCTCTCATATAAGAGACATTGAGACATTTTTTTAATATATATTTTATTGATATATATATATATATATATATATATATATATTTTTTTTTTTTTTTTTTTTTTTTTTTTACAGAGAGGAAGGGAGAGGGATAGAAAGTTAAAACATGTATGAGAGAGAAACATCAATCAGCTGACTCCTGCACACCCCCCACTGGGAATGTGCCCGCAACCAAGGTACATGCCCTTGACCAGATCGAACCTGGGACCCTTGAGTCCACAGGCTGACGCTGTATCCACTGAGCCAAACCAGTTAGGGCACATTGAGACATTTTTGAAGAGGATGTTGTCTTTGCACAAAAGTTTATCTAATGATGGGAAATTTTCCAAACGTCCACTTTTAGAATGTTCTTACTATACATGAATCTCTTTCAAGAAGTAATAATTTTCCCACTAAGTATTAAAACATCACATGGATTTCAAAGACATGGTTTATGTTGGTTTATTGTTGTTGTTTTAATGTTGTCAGAGAACATATGACTGATAGCCATCTGCTGTCACAGAATGGGCAGCTAATTTGGAACACTTAACTTTTTAAAAGAAAATTATATAACTTATCTTTAAGCTTAAAACTCTTAAAAACTTTACAACTAGAAAACCAACAATTTTTTGTGGTTCAAAGAATTGCAGAATTTCTTTCTCATGCCCCAGTTACTCGTCTTGTCCCAGTCCTATTCTCTGATGGTTTTTCCCATCAGCAGTAGAATTGAATCCATCCTCTGTCCTCTGGCTTTCTTCAGCATTGTATTTTTGTGAGACGGATGTGCCGCTACCTACTGCACTAACAGGATACCTCAGATAATGTGTTTTCAGCTCTAGGGTTCTATTTTATTCTTCACATATTCTATTTCTCTCCTTGATTGTGCTCATATTTTTGTTTAATCTTTGAGCATGGGCCTTTCTCCCTGACCACTTGTGCTTTGCCACTCTCCTTCCCTTTGTTGCAGCCTTACCAGCTTCTCTCTACCTTGAATATCCACGTTCACATCCCTTTGCAATGCTGTCTCCTCTGCCCAGGATCTTCCTGTATTTCCCCTCCACCACCCGGTTCCCCATTCAGTGTCACCTCCTCCAAGAGACCCTCCCTGCCAGCCTGTCTCCAGTACCCATACCCCATTTTCCACCCCCTTTTTTCTCTCTTCCTCATGCTTGGCAGTCCTTAAAAGTATTTTATTTTATTTTGCTTTTTGTCCATATCCCTCACCTCAGAATGTCAAGTCTTTGAAGGCAGGTATTATCTTGTTCACCATCATGTCCCCCCGGCACCTAGAACAATCCTAATATCACAGAATGTGTCCTGGAGTGCCAGCAGTAGACTGCAGTGTGCCTGGCACTTCCCTGCCCCTTTTCCCCCTAAATGCTGCATCTTCTTCATGGACTGACTACCAGACAGTCCCCATGGGTCTGAACTCTTTGTCTCCTTTTTTTTTTTTTTTTTAAAGTCTACTTTTCCCAGTTTCTCTATCTGGAATGGGTCATTTACTCATGTGGTCCATCCTGCTTTACCATTGATATTCATGAACATGGTTTATCTCTACTGTGAAGCTGGTTCAGCTGGCATAGCTGTGTCCATCCCAGTGCCTCATTTGGGCCTTCCCAAGAGCAGAAAGATGCTTAGGGAATACTTGTTAAATTAGGCCTTGATGAAACAGAATAATTCAGTTGGCTACTAGTTCAGTAAGCAGAAATCTTCATTAGAATTTTGCACATTTGTTTGCCTCACTGACTTCTCTCCTCTCCCTGTTTCTTGGGTGAGGAGCCAGCACCAGACGTATTGCAGAGCTACCTCCACCAACCCGGACTGGGTTGTCTGGAATTAATGAGATAATGTTACATGTACCTAGGAGAAGGTGCTGAATGAATACAGGTGACTGTGGTATTGTTCATTGTAATTATGTTCTTTGGGTCCTGTGTTGCATAAATGAGCTCTATAGTGCCTCGATGGGTGTTTTAGGAATTAACTATTAGATGATTGTAAAACAAATTGCAAGTTTGTCACGTTGGGTGGATGGAACTTGCAATAAAGCCTGTTGAATTGGAGGAGGCAGGGAAGACAGGTGAGGGCTTTGTGTGTTCCTGTTCCACATATGGGTGTGTTCTCTTACCTCCCCCAGACAATTCTCTAATTGAGCTGCTGAGATCTGAGGCTTGTGATGCTCAGAATAAGGCCTAACAATACTTGTGCGGGGTTTAAATAGCATTGGAAATCATTAACGAGACAAAAAAGCTATGATTTCCCCTAGATTAACATGCAGGTTGGGGTTTGGCATGCCGAAAATCGTTGTTTTGGTCTCTAGTCCAAACACGCTAGAGTCATTATATTGTCATGTGGTAATTAGCTGTTCCTTTAATGCAGGTAATAAAAATTAAGCCTAAGAGGTACTTTAGCAATGCCTTTTACATAATCCAAAACAAGATTCAAATGCTGCAGGCGTTTAGTCATTCGACTGTACTGTGGTAAAGTTTGAAAGTTGAATGCATAGAGATGTTTGAACATTCAGTTCATTCTTTATTCTGTGACCAGTTTTGCTATTTAGGCATTAACCTTTAATAGTGTTAAATTAAATATACATGCCATAATGAATAATTATGAGATTGCCAGAATTTTCATTTACAATATAATGCTTTGAAAATTTCTCTAAAGGTCTAGTTACTATTCACTTGATAATATGCATGTTATTTTTATATGTCACTGAATTCCTTGCCGAGTCAAATGAGGAAAGCTATTTTTTATTCAAAGCAGACACAGTGGTCCTGGATTTTTTTATTTTATTTTATTTTTTTTTTTAGGAATGGACTGGAAAAGTTGTCGACAGAAATTTTAGGGATGGATTGCAGTATACTAGCTTAACTCTCTAAAGATATAATTTGTACTGGCAGTTGTGCTGGAAAGCCTACATGAACGAACACTAATAGAATTTTATACAGAGCCACGGCTCTCCCTCCTCAGTCCTTCCCTGACCTCTGTATCAAGCTCAGATTGTAGTTCTATGTGAAGGGGGCCGTGAAGGCATACAGTATGTTCTCTTCAGGCCATTTGCTCAGGGTGAGGTCATAGAGGAAGGGGGTATCAGTGGGGTGATACCCTGGAAAATACTGAAATTTAAAAAAAAAAAAAATACCTACACCTGGAATGTTCTGAGTAATTCAGTCTTTACTGTTGTTACTATTTCTACTTATAAAGAACTATCTTCCCTAAATAGCTTTTGAAATCTAATTCAATATAAATATTTTAATGCTGACTAAAATAATAATGAAAAGCCACAAATAAGAAAGTGATGCAGTCATAAACTGTATACACACACAGAATACATGCCCGGCAGCCAGAGGTTTCACATGATGGACAGCGTTGGCGCTAAACCCCACGCGCCGTTGTGCTGGACACATCCCAGTGCCCGCCTTTTGTAAACTCTGGGAAGACATTGGCATCTCCGAGAGCTCCTGGCTCCTGGCAGGCGCGTCGGCTGAAACATGCGGATCTAGCCCTCATTTCCAGGAACCAGGGGTGGTCTGAAAAATTAATGACTCCGGTATTTGAAAATTAAGTGAGCTCTTGAATATATACCCTTGTTGATCTGCTGTGCTCGGTGTTTAGCATTCCTCAACCGGAGACTAAATCCTTGCAGCCATTTCACAAGTGATGCTGGCGTCCATACCAGAAATATCTTCAATAATCTTTTCTGAGCCCAGCGGACTTGGGTATTCTCCTCTGATGGAGCAGGCGTTCCAGAGGAAGTGCTCCGCCGGTGCCAGCAGGTGGATTATGCGTGCCTTTTAGGCAGATGACGAAAAAATAAAGATAGAACGAATGCCAGGAGAATGTTTAATGTCTCTCCATTTTGTGCCAACAGTCAATACATAAATTCTGTGTCTCCAATCTAATTTTAGATTAAAATCCAGTTTTTTGTAAGTAAATCTGATGGCAGATAATTTATTGACTTGGCCACAAGACCTCACATAACTGGCCCAGGTGCCATCTCCTGCTGTTTATACTGTAATTAGAGGGTGGTGGTCTCCTGGCTACCTGGCCCAATGGCCTAGGGCGGGTCACCGTCACTTCAGGTCGGCTCCCCAGCTCACCTGACTCTTGTGAGTGTCCTTGGTTAGCAAAGGAGGATTGTGACGGAAAGTGAGCATGTCCTACTTACTAACCCCACTCCAGCAGGGGATCTTCCTTGTTGGAACAACAGTCACTTGGAGTTAACAGACTCGGGTTTGAGTTCTCTGTCCACTAACTAGCCGGGAAACCTTGACAGGTCACTCAGGTTCCTGAGCTTTAGTTTCCACTTCTGTGAAAGGAACTATATAATACACATCTTGCATTTCTTTTCCAGTATTATTGTGAGACTCAAAGGAGAAAATGTCTGTAAAGCGCTCTGTCACAGTGAGACACTCTCAGAGCATTAGGTGTTATTTCAACTTCATCAGAATTACTGTAAACTTGTGGCTTAGGTACCTCCCCACACACCATCGATCCTCCCATGCAGCCGTAGGTGCATGGATGATCTCCCAGGCTGCCTCTGCTTGCTGCCGCCACATGTGTCTCTCTTCCTATCAGCTCAAAGGTTCACTGTCACACTATGCCAAAGCAGTGGGCATATCCCAGTGATTCGGTGGCCATTTCACCCTATTTGTTTTGGAGGCCCTGGGTGAGTCTGTATATGCACGCATTCCTCTGTAGCAGCAGAGAAGTGGCCCTAACCCAGCCGTGGTGCTCCCAGGGACTCTGAAGGAGGTGGCAAGGTCCCGTGTGCCCCGACTTCTGGCAGGTGGTAGCAGCCACAGGCTGGAGGTCTGCCTGAGCCTCGGTGTGACCGTGAAGGTGGCTCGTCTGGGTCCAGAGCGGGCTGATGTGTGCTCACCTCTCGTGCAGATCCCGTGCCAGCCCTGGATCTCGGACAGCAGCTCCAGCTCAAAGTGCAGCGCCTGCACGACACTGAAACAGAGAACCAGAAACTTAGGGAGACACTCGAGGAATACAACAAGGAATTTGCTGAAGTAAAAAATCAAGGTTGGTGGAAGATGCCTCTTTGCTTGGCGCTTTCTTGTCTTTTTTTTTTTTTTTTTTTTTTTTTTTTTTTAATTGCCTTCCCCATCCTGTTGGGACCAGCTCTAATTGTAATACACGTCATAAAGTCAGGGTGGGGTAAAAACCATAATCGTTAAAAAGAGATAATAATAATGCTTAGCTATTTGGAAGTAAAACTTTTCCTCTGCACAGTAACTACATCTGATTTTATTGCCCTGTGACGGGACTGATCAGGATCCTTTTAAAATTCTTCCTGTATCATCATGTGATAGGATCTGCCTTTTACAAGAAAGATGCATTGCCTGCGGGCAACACCTGTCAGATCCAGCTTATGATCAAAGGGTCACCTACAGTAAGTCATTTAATAATTGCTGCCGATACATTAAGGCTTTAGCCGCATCCTACAAGTCTGCATGCTTAAGCACTACTGTTTCCTTGTCAGCATCACCTACTCATTACGAATTCAGTGAAAAGAAAATGGCCTCTTGGGGTGGTTGCCCTGCCGTCAACAAGACAAAAAGGGCAAAAATTGCCTGGCTTTTCCTGTCAGGGAAGAAGAAAGAAATCGCTTCTCCACCCAAAATCCAGATGTGCTCAGATTCGGGGAGCCCTATGACGTCCTCTTCCTGACGGAAAAGCACAGCCCTGTCTGACGGGAGCTGCAGGTTTTCCGGGCAGCTCCAAGGAGACATGCAGTCTGTTGGCTTTTGTCTGGGGTTTAGTTGAGCAGGAGCTAGAAAGGAAAATTAAACCACTTTGATGATCTCCGAGAGTTGCATAAAGAATTAACTGATGGAGATTTTTTAAAGTGTCCTTGGGCTTTGAGCCCATTGAAGATAGGCTTGCGAGAAGGGATTGTCCACGAAAAGGATCCAGTCAAAAACTATGATGAGCCGCTAGAAGGTACAGGCCTGGGCAGTGTGGGCAGCAGCCCCATGGGTCCCCTTCCTCGGGGGACTAGAGGTGGGAGACAGCTAAGATTACACACACACACACACACACACACACACACACACACACACACACACACACACAAACACCACCCCATCTGGTGCCACGGGGCGCGGTAAGTCATTAAACTCAGGGACAGCTTTGTCCTGCTGGGAGGTGAGGTGTTGGACTTACTAGCTGGGACCTGGGTGGGAGAAGGTGCTGCCTTTCCCCAGTAGGAGTTGTTTCTTTTCAGAACCAAATGCTCAGGTGAAAGACAATCTGGAAAGAGGGAGGGAGGGAGGGAGGGAGGGAGGGAGAGAGGGAGGGAGGGAGGGAGGGGGAGGGAGGGAGGGAGGGAGAGAGAGAGAGAGAGAGAGAGAGAGAGAGAGAGAGAGAGAGAGAGAGAGAGAAGGGAGGGAGGGAGGGAGGGAGGGAGGGAGGGAGGGAGGGAGGGAGGGAGGGAGGGATAGAAGGAGGCAGATTTAGCAGGGGTGGGACAGGATGGAAACTTCACAAAGGGGTACAAGAAAACTGTTGGGATGCTGGAAAAGCTAATTATTTTGATTCTGATGATGGTTTCAGGGGTATATACAAATGTCAAAATTAAAAAGAAAAGAAAGATGACCTCTAAATGCACACACCTGGGTTCCGCTGTAGCCCTACCCAAAAGGAATGAACTTTGTTTTTTCCCCTCCATTGACCTCTAGCATCTTACTCTTGGTGTTTATTTTCATTTTGTTTTCTTGGAGGATGGTGAGGTGCTGGTATCCCTCCCCACAGCCTTGCTTTCGTCAGTGCCTCCACGCCCAACAAGGACAGCACCTGAGAGGGAAATGTTCTGCTCCCCAAAGGCCCCCCTAATGGGTGTCTGTAATGAAATGTATATTATGTAGTCAGAGACTTAAGGGCAAAGGCTCCGGGGTGGACAGGCCAGGTTTGAGTCCCTTCATTGTTGTACTTAGCTGTGTGACCTTGAACAAGGGGTCTCGCCTTGTGATAAGCCTCATTTTCTTGGGGGATTCTCACACTCACCGTGTACGATTGTTATAGGTAAAATGAGATGCTGGTGAGACATTTAGCGCTGTTCCTGACTCTCAGTAAAGATCAGCTGCTCTTATGGAGCACTGTTGTTGTTTTTCTAGAAACCCTCCTCTTCTTTATCTATTGATATAGTAACAGATTTTCCAACCTCCAGAAAAATGTTAAGTTCCTCTTTCCTTCCCAATATAAAAATGATTTTAATTTGGAAGGGTTGGGGTGCATGTCACTTGTTTTAGTCATCACAACCATATTGTATCTTGGTAAAAAGTTAGAGCAGGATGGGAATTTATTATGTGCTATAATTCTTCCCCGCATTTAAAGATGAGTAAGTTGGGGCCCCAGCCATAGCCAATGAGAGCAGAACACTTCAGTGCCCTTTCTGCCACACTATTCTCTTTCCTCACCTGCTCACAGGTAGGGGGTCCTGCTGGGCACACCCAGGAGCATGTTCTGGAAACAGACCTGTATACAGGAGGAGGACCAGAGTCAGAGGCTCAAGGACAAGTCAGCCTTGGACTTAGGCTCAGCCAATCAGTGAGCTCTCACCTGGGGTTGGAGAATAGCAAAGAGCCCGCATTAGATGGCGTGGGAGCCCCATCCACGCCGTCTTAGCTGAAGTCACTATGGCCTGCAGACATAGTGACTTCAGCTAAGTGTCCCCTGGAAGGAGCATAGAGGTGCCACACTGAGAAGCCCACTGGAATAAGCACTGGGGCCCAGGGGCTGAACAGATACTTCCAACCAATTGTTAGAGGCAAGAATTCTATATGTTTGCATGGACCATTGACTTACGGAATGTGCAGGTGTTTTCAGCGGTGACTTTGGCCCTGTCAGTGTGACCTAACAGTAATGGGAACCACTAACCACAGTGCTCACAGAGCATTCCTTTCAGGCCCGGAATAGCCGGTCCAAAAGGCAGAGCCCCCTGTTCTTCTTTCAAATGCCCTGACAGGATCCCCAGTTTAACTCCCTCTCTCTTCCTCTAAGGAGAACCATCTGGCTTCCACTTAATAGAAACGGGCAATTTCTTCTCTTAACCAAAGAGCCTTTAGCTTTTACCTACTAAGCCACATAAATACAGCATGTCTGTGCTGGTCAGGCAGCAAAGGGGGACATGAGTTACCGCCTGGAGGAACGGGGCCACCAAGCGAGCTCTTCCTGGGGCAAAGACCTGGCAGTTGGCATTGTCCCATGCGCCTGGAGCCCCATGTCACAAGCCCTGTCTGGGCCTCACCCTGTCGGCCCAGCCTCAGCTCCTTCGTTCATTATGACTCAGCCATTTCCAGAGCACCCACCTGTGCCAGTTGCTGGGGCCACAAAGAGCCTCAGCCTTTCCTTCTAAGAAATGGGTTCATGCAGGAGCCCCATTCTCCTTGGAGTTGGGACCACAGTGCTCTGCCAGGGGCTGCTCAGCACACAGGGAGGAGGTACCTGTGGGAGGGAGCATGTGGAGTGGTCCTGCCCTGGAGCCACCACTACCGTGAGTTAGGACCCTGCCCCATTCATTACATCTACTTTGGTGTTCCCATTTTGGGTAACTGAAGTGACAGCTGTAGCCGAAACAGGTTTGGCTCAGTGGTAGAGCATCGGCCTGCGGACTGAAAGGTCCCAGGTTCGATTCCGGTCAGGGGCATATACATTGGTTGCGGGCACATCCCCAGTAGGGGATGTGCAAGAGGCAGCTGGTCGATGTTTCTCTCTCATCGACGTGTCTAGCTCTCTGCCTCTCTCTCCTCCTCCCTGTAAAAAAATCAATAAAAATATATTAAAAATGAAGTGACAGCTGTAAACATGGCATCCCTGGTGGGCGAATCCCTCAGGGCATCCCTGGCCTGAGCTTTCCAGGGCCAGCCTGCCCTCCCAGGGGGCTTATGTCCTCAGCCTGGCACTGCAGGGCTCCGTCTTTGCCCAGCACCACTACCCACGTCCTTGATCCTTACCATCCCTCCAGTGCACCTCTCCCAGGCCCCGTTTGTCTGCTCTTCACACACGGCCGTAGGCTGTCAGACTCTGGCCTCCATGGAGGGTGCCCTCTGCACCCAAGCGGCAAGGTGGGTCCTTTCCAGCCAAGGAGATGCATGTTGTATCTACTTAGCACACTCCATGTTTCATTACTGTGACATGGCAGAAGTGTGCCCACAGCCAGGCAGGCCTGCAGACATAGTGACTTCAGCTAAGACGACATCTTCCAAATGTGCACACAATTATGAACTGTTTTCTTTGTAAGAAAGTACTAAAACCCACACGAAAACATTATTAATTTTGCTCAGTAGAGGACTAATTTAAGACTCATCAATAAGATGTTATATTTTACCATTGATTCTCCCCTCCTTTTTTTAAAGTTGTATTAGAGAAACCATAGCTCTTCTTCCCAGCAAAATCCATTGATCCTCCTCAACCTAAACGTTTAAAGTTCAATTTAACATTTAGGGAGTAAAAGGTCTCTGAAGGGACTCATAACCATTGATTTTGTGTCAGAGTTGAAGAGCTAAAGTTTAAAACACACCGATCCTACTCGGTTACGAATGCCTGTATATATAGCCACATGGAACTGTGCTTCTCTTACTGTAGTTTTTTTCTTTCTTTCTTTCTTTCTTTCTACAGAGGTTACGATAAAAGCACTTAAAGAGAAAATCCGAGAATATGAACAGACTCTGAAGAACCAAGCTGAGACTATAGCTCTCGAAAAGGAACAAAAGTTACAAAATGATTTTGCAGAAAAGGAGAGGTGAGCATGTGTTGGGGTTTGCAGATACTGACATAATGTTTTACATCGAAACTTCACATGACGAGACAGTTTTTAAAATGTACCTGTGAAATATGCCCAGGAGTAAACCAAAATCCTAGCGTCTCTAGGGAAAATTATTTGAAAACTAAAGGTGTCCCTTATTCTGTAATGGGTGAGACTACTTTGAGGGAAATGTATCAGTCTTTTTCCACTGGGGGACCGTTTCAGTCAGTGTGTCTGTCCAGGCCATGCATGAACTGTGTGTGGTTGGCGACTCTACATCTTTTCATAACCTCATAGTACTTCGTAGATCAAGGAGCTGATGTCAGTAAAATATGTTCATGAACTATCCAAAGGCTGTGAGTTTTAGATCTCGATCGCCTACTCCACCTAAAACATTTCTACCAATAGTGAGCTGGTTGTCACTATTGTGATGATTTAATGAAAGTTAGATTTCTTATAAAAACTGTATTAGGCCAAAACCGGTTTGGCTCAGTGGATAGAGTGTCGGCCTGTGGACTGAAAGGTCCCAGGTTCGATTCCGTCAAGGGCATGTACCTTGGTTGCGGGCACATCCCAGTGGCGGGTGTGCAAGCGGCAGCTGACCGATGATTCTCTCTCATCGATGTTTCTAATTCTCTATCCCTCTCTCTTCCTCTCTGTAAAAAAATCAATAAAATATATATTTTTTTAAACTGTAATAGGACATAAGTTGGAGTTTTAGAACTCTAGTGAAATATAGGTTTTCTGTTTTAAAACTATAATGAAATGAGTGTATTCATTAACAAGAGGGAGTAAATGTGTGGTTTTAAGTGAGAATCCTGGCCTAATGTGTCCGGTTAACTTTGCGCGCAAGTTCTTGCACTTTCATATGGTGGGCTCAGTGAAGATGGGTATCACTGAGGACTCGGAAGTATTGTTAAGCTGGCTTCACTTAGGAAAGAAGAACAATGCCCACTCTACTCCCCTAGTGCATGCTCTGCACCCACCAGACCCTCTTGGAGCATAATGCTGAGTCCAGAACAGACCTGCAAAGTGGGCATTTCATTTTACAGATGGAGACACTAGGCCTCAGCTTAGCTGCTCTCCCACCTAGTCAGCCAGGGTGGGACCAGGGACTGATCCACACTGCAGGCCTGACCTCCCTGTGCTCTGACTGGCTTCAAAATCCCTACTTCAGGGCCAAGGCCAAGCCCAACTCTACACAAGGACGCTGCACCCGCACTGCTGGGAGATCGGGACTTTGTGTGGCCCCAGAGAAGTTGGGGCTCTCAGAGATGAGGGGACTCTTCATACCTCCTAGCAAAGTACTTTTTACCCAAAGAAATAGCTCACCATGTTATTGCTAATGCGGGGAGGCGGGTGTAAGCAAATGAGAAGTGGGTCAGTAAAAGATTGGCCATCCCTAACTGGAACATCATGCAGCTATTAAAATAATAGTTACATAGAGTTTGTAATAACAGAAATATATCCAGCATAATATAAAGTGAAAAATGCATAATAAAATATTATGGACAGTGTGAGCCCATCTGCATAAGCAAACTTATATATTACAAAATTACGGAAATAAACTTAATATGGCAATTTAATATTTTTACGTTGACTTTTCAAATTAGGGAAAAGAATTTATTCTATTAAAAGATGTGAATAACTGACTGACCACTGAGGGTGGTGTACAAAGCTAGATCTTTACCTCATTCTTTACATGAAAAAAATTGAAACAGATCTAGGATTTAAGTAATAATGATTAAATCATTTGCATATTGAAAGAAAGCTTGGGCAAATATTTTGTTTTTAATGATTTTGGAGTAAGGAGATCTCTGTAAGCATAAAAGGAAAATTAGGAAGTATGTGAAAATGTGAGCAATCCATTTTCATTACTTAAAATTTAAAATCTTTTTAAAAACAAATACCAATAGACAGCATTTTTCAAGCATCAGGAGACTGGGAAGAGGTATTAGCACCACATAAGGAAAAGGACTTATTTTCTTTATATACAAAGAATTCATAAGAAAAAAGCAGCACCACAAAAAATGGGCAAAGGCGATAAGCAGGCAGTTCATACAAACAAATGCTCAGCTTTGCTCAGCAGTAAAATTACATTTGGCTTTATTCGGTGTTGGCGTAAGAAAACAGACTCTCACAGACCATTGAAGAGAGTTTACTTGGTGAGGTTTGTTTTGTTGGGAAGTTTCTTGACATCTATCTAAACAAAACAAAAATTTGCACATACTTTTTTATCATTATTATCTAATAGTTGCCCTCTCAGAATTATGCAACAAATCTACCTGATGATCACTGCAGAATTATTTGGTGGGAAATAAAAGATAGACAATATAAATGTTTTACGTCAATTACTTAGTAAGCACCAAGAAGAACTATATATATGTTGGAGTAGAGTATCTCCAAAGTATGGAGATAAGTAAAAAAAATCAAGCTTCAGAATACCCTGTGTGCTGTCATCCCTGTTGTCCTAAAAGAAGGGGCAGGCAGTATGTGTAATATACACTGCAGTAAACTACATGTGAGTGCATATCCAACTTAGTATATTACATACGAGTTTATATTTCAAAATATTAGATATGAGTGTATATCACACTACAGTATATAACATGTAAATGTATATTACACTATGGTATATTACATATGAGTATATATTAAACTCATATTGCATATGAGTTTACATTATACTATAGTAAATTACATCAGTATATATTACTTTAGAGTATATTGTATATTATATTTCTGTAAACAGAAAAATTTTAGAAGACTGTGAAAGAACTCTATATAAGGAAGAAATAGAACTAAGGAAGGGAAAGGGCATTTTATCTTCCATGCTCTTATAATATTCATGTTTTGGTTTTTTGTTTGTTTTTAACTCAGGGCATATGTTAGTTTCATAATTGAAGTATGTGAAAATATGAGCAATCCATTTCCATAGGTGATAGAAATTTGGGTGCTTTTTTAAAACTGTCATTTCTACTTTTCTGTATTCCCAGATTTATTATTATGAGAGCATGTGTTATATTCATATGATATAAAAATAATAAACTTATTTTTGGAGAATTTTCTGCCGATTAGGAGGAAGGAATGTTATTTATTGACCAGGGAATTCGTTTGGAGATCATGGGAAATGTAAATATGTGGAATGTAGTTTAAAACATTCAGTATTTCCCATTAGGTATTGCAGTTGCATTCGCATTCCATTATAACAAAAATGGAACAGCTGTCACATCTATTTAGTACATCCTTTATTCCAACAAATTCCTTCATTGTGTCAGCAAAATGTAGATGTATCATTCTTCTTGGGCTAACTTCAGAAAACAATGAGTGCATGATGATGATTTTTTTAATATCTGGCATTTCAGAACCAATTACATTTAGGATAACCTACATTAGTTACCACCCATCAATTCCCACAAAATGCACACTTCACTTTATGTAACATGTGGGTATAAAGTTGGGTAGTAGAAAATCATCAGTAAATGAGCTCCTCAGTGCTCATGGCATGACAAGTGATACCTGATCATGTGCCTGTCACTGGCTATATGTGTTACGGTGAAGATAGCTGATCATCTTCGCTCCATAACCCTTCAGGTGTTTATGTTAGTAAATAAGATGACCAATTTGGCTTTCTTCTCTTCCTTTTCAGAAAGCTGCAAGAGACACAGATGTCCACCACCTCAAAGCTGGAAGAAGCGGAACATAAAGTTCAGACTCTGCAAACAGGTGTGCTATTCTTCATGCTTGTCGAGTTGATGCAGGGAAGACTGACATGGGGGAAGTCTGGTTGGTCTCAGGTCTCTCCCGGCCCCTCTGCTGTGTGTGGCCCTGCCGTGGGGAGCCTGGAGGAGGAAGGGAACCCACGCTCTAGAATGCCACGTGGAGCCCCAGCTTCTCCACCTTGGCTTCTGTTAGTCACCCACACTGAGTTGTTAATGTCGAGGTGGGAGGATCTGAATTACATTTTCATCCTTTCCACAAGCCATTCTTTCTCGCTGCTCTTTTTCCAACAAACTCATCTAAATCCAAACTGTCAAGGACTGACATTTCATTTGGAACAATATTAGGAAAAGAAAAACTTATTTCTACCCCAGTGAAGTTAAGAAGAACAGAAATAACAGACCTTTAAAATGTAAAAGATAGCAAAAGAGGTTATGCGAAATCTTTCATTACTTTTTTTTTTTTTTTAATTCTGTGGGAAACAGCACTATATGTCTAATTTAAATGGGAAAATAATCACAATAAACTTAGCAGACAATGAATAAAACTCAAAATATATATAGACTACCTACAAATCATAAAAGTAGCTAAACATTCAGTAGAACAGTGGGGTAAGAATGTGAACAGGCAATTTGCAGAATAAATATACATGGCTGATACACATGAAAATATGTTAACAATTTTTAATAGTCTGGGATATGCTAATTAAATCAGTGAATGATTATTTTGCCTAGCAGACTGTCAAACAGATTTTTAATTGATAGTCTTCGGTGCTGGTGAGCTATAGGAAAATAGTCACAGAGTATTAGTGGGAATGTAATTTGCCTGTTGGGAGACCAGCTGGGGTATTGATCTGCAATTTGGAACATCAAAGCTCCTTACCCCAACCCCTCATTTCTAGACATGCTACCTGAGCTAATTGTTTAGATTAAGGCAAGTCTCAGGAAGTACTTGTATCATTCTATTTATGGGGGATGAAAAATAGATAGATACATGTACAACAAGCATGTCCAACACGGGCTAAATAGATGAGGCGTGCGTCCCATGGTCCGTGAGTTTGACATGCTTGATATACAATGATAAGTGGAAATATTTTTAAACAACAAAATATATTAGAAGGGAGGAAATTGATCTCTTAGGAGGTGATGGGATGAGATGAGATGGAAGTAAAAGGCGATTTTCTATTCCATTCTAAATACTTTTGTAATTTTTCACTCTTTTGAAATGAGAATCTGTTACTTGTATACTGTTCCTTTTTAAACTTAAACAATTAGTGTCTTATGTTTTGGTTTTACGTCTCTTCCTTTCAGCCCTGGAAAAAACTCGAACAGAATTATTTGACCTGAAAACCAAATACGATGAAGAAATTACTGCCAAGTAAGTCTCTGCCTGGCTTCCTCCATCTGCTCGTTTGGTCAGGTCTCATCTGACTTTGCCAATCCATGAAGGCTTTCCCCTCTCCTTCCTTCTGTATGTTGGCTTTGCAGAGCGGTTCAGGGTTTAGAAGGTGCTTGGCCTCTGGAACTGCTGTAAGGAATACAGTGTTATTCCCATGAGTTGCTTGTGTCAGTTTAATACCCAAGCTCTGGTGCTCGCAGAACAATCCTACCCCCTGGAACTTTTTTCCTCGATTTTTGTGAAACCTGGTTAACACTGTGCCTTTTTCAGAAATTTTGGGACAAAACACATCACCTTTTACCTTTACCAGAATCCTTCATTCCCACACAGGTTTATTTGTTTCTGTGTACACTGGGTATCCCTTTGCAGACACATACATAGTGAATGTGTATATTTGGGCATGTACATCACACAAGGCTCTGTGAGAAGGAAATCAGGGTCTGCCACAGGATCACTTCTTGGTAGCCCACACTCCATGCAAAACCCCAGAAAAGAAGAAATAAGATTGGCATAAATCAAGGAAGGTAAGAAGTCACAGATTGTTCCTAGTCATGGCCTCCTCTACTTGAAGTCCAGACAGGCAATGTCAGGCTAGAGTTGAAACCACCTTTTCCTACTGCGGGAGCCTCTGGCTGTGTCTCCCAGGCGGCCTATTCCAGGAAGGAAGTTCTGCTGTGCTCACTCACACAGGCCCTCGTGGGCTGGGGAAGGTGGCAGGGGGCAGGGGGACTCTTGCTAAATAAAACACAGCTATTCATTCCTGTGGATCTTGGTCATAAACCATTTTGAAAAACATTGCTTTGAGAGCGTTAGAAAAGTTCAACTTCCAGACTTGGCTGGTGTGGCTCAGTTAGTCATCCAAGCACTGAAAGGCTGCCGGTTTGAGTCCCAGTCAGGGCAAATGCGGGGGGTTGCAGGCTCAGTTCCCGGTAGAGGGCATGCAGGAATACTGTCTCTGGTTTAGAATAATCTCTTTTTTTCCTTATTGGGCTTCCAAAAGGCTGCATGGAAAATTTGTGTCCACCCGATTGGTTTTAGGGACTGAGGACGAAACAGAACAGTCATCCAGTAAGATCTTAAATTTCCCTCTGCTCTAAGGTTTTCATCTTCCCTGGGCAGGGAACATGGTGGCTGGGAAGTGACTGGGAGACAGAATCAGAGAAGGGACGTCGTAGCCCCTGTGCCCATCCTCTTCTGGCCTCGCTACAGGCCAGGTAAATGCTGGGGGGAATTCGCTTCTCTCACCAGAACCAGAAAACTATCACAAATGGGTAGGGGTCAGTTGCTCATCATGGAAATACTTTGCTTTGGGACTGGCTGTTGTCACCAACTGCGGACAGGGTCATGGGTGCTCCTGGTGTGTGTTCCCTCCTGTGATCATAGCAGGAAATTCTCCAGTGATGAATAGGAAGGCAGGGTGTGGTGTGCACATGTGCATGTGGAGAGAACAAGCCTGACAGAAACACAATATGCGTGACTCAATAGTAGCAGGTCCACTCATTAGTCCAGCAGACATTCCTGGAGGCCTCCTCTGTGCCTAGACCAGTGCTGGGCTCTCGAAAGCCCGGGATAAATGACTCAAGAGAGAGAAAAAGCCATTTCGATCCAGTATGGTCACTGCTGTGATAGAAAGAACATTAATTGTGATGGGCACCTGTGCCAGTCATGGTCTCTGCAGAAGACAGGCAGCACACTCCAACTAGGGTAATCAGAGTTTAACAGCTGGACTGTTCGCTGTGGCATGTGCCAGGAAGGGGGCGGGACACAGAATGCATCATCCGTAGTGAGCACTGGCTGGAATCCGCCATGCCCAGGTTTGAAGGGACCACCTTGAGAGGAACTGGTGGCCTTTGGAGGGTTGAGAAATCTGGGGTGATACCAACCCTCCATGGTCGTACCCACCTCCCTTTCCCTGTCAGGAATCCTCATGGCAAACTTAGAAGCCAGAGGGCAGCCCTGAGAGATTGGGGAGAGGGAACTGGAAATGAGAATGGCAAGTGTCCGCAGCACAGGTCCAGCTAGAGCGAAAGGAAAGAATTGTCAAGGAAGCCTTCCTGGAGGGAGTGACTTGTGATCTGAGGTTGGAAGATGAGTCAAGATGAGGAGTTCCTGGAGGCCAAAGGAGGTAGTTCCCGGAGGCAGTTTGTGAAAACAGACCAGCAAGGTTGCTCTTTGGAGGACCGTCCCGAAGTCCCAAATGGCTTCTCTGCAGAGTCAGTGGGGGCATGATGGGTGCTGAGGGTGGACTTGGGCTCACACAGGGACCCCGCATTTCCCAAATCAGAGATGGACAACTACTAACAAAAGGCAGCCTGGGGCCAAGCACTTACTGTAAATGGTTCCCAGAGTAAGTAATCCACAAAAAATGTAGAGAATGGACTGAGATAATAATTGCTACTTTCTTTTAACTTCGGAGGCAATTGCTTCAGTCTTGGAGATACCACGTGAAGCTTCCCCCTCCGCATTCCTCTCCTCTTCTGTTTTCTGGGAAAGGTTTGTCACTCCACCATCTGCTTCAGCCCCAGCCTATGTATATTATATTAGATTAGACAGCTTTTCGTTAATACATGTGAATATAAGCCCTCCAGGGGCAAATCTTTCACAAATGGTCTTAAAACATTTCAGAACAATTCATTGTATCTCTTGGAAAGGAAGGATTCTTATGTGTTTGTTGACAGAAAATGTAAGAAGGGGGTTGGGGAAGCATAGGGGAATGTGGGCTTTGGAGAACACTGATCTGGGAGTGGTTCACACAGGGCCACTACTCACTGTCCCTGTGTGACCTTGGACAAGCTCACTGACCTCTACATCTCTCTTTTCTCACCTGTACAGTGGGTATAATAGAAGGCAAGGCATGGGGTGGGTGTGACAAGTTATGAGATTTGTGTGCGGCCTCTAGCACCATCAGCAGTAGAAGCTATTCCTAGCAATCTTGCCAGAGGGCTTGGGGAGCCTTTCTGAAATTAGCAGACCTTGGAGACCACTGACCTTGCTGGCATCCTCTTGCCCATGAGATTTAAAGAGCATTGGTTGCCTCTGCCTCTGTGTCGCTGGAAGATGTCACTGGTGTGACCGTCCCTTACCCCTATTTTGTAAAGAAGCCTGCAGGTCACAGGCACCAGGGCTATTCCAAGACCCCTGTTTATTGTGTACAGTCATCACCCTGCGTCAGCTGGGCCAGCACGGACTGACTGTGACGGCCACCACAGCAGTAAAGTTTTCCATGTGTAGGCTTGAAGCAAAATGTAATTAGCCTTTATGTGCAGAACAAGGACCCATTGATGAATACAGCTGGTCTTTGTTTGGTCCTGTCATTGAGAGTGGGAGGTAAAAGTGTTCTTCTTCATGTTTATTAATGCAAGATTCCTTAGACAAATGGCAAGCACAGTTTAATATTTGTTGGAACATAGCGGCGTTTGCCAGGACAGTTGTTGTGTAATGGGTTTGCAGGGTTTTAGATTATAACCATTTCTGGGTTAAATAAATGAATTATTTCTCTGCTCCCCTCCCCCTTTATTTTTAGTTTAAAAAGTACCAGCTTCTCAGGTGGTCACCCTGTGTACAGATCTTCCCACTTCTCTTGGAAAATAGAGAATTGGTACCTAGTGACTTTAACTTGGAGATTCCAGCAAGGCAGAGTGGTGTGGAGCGGTTTGGGGTGGACTGAGAGGTGGAGAGAGGCCCGGCACCATCACACAAGCCCTCGTCTCTGCGCCTGTCTTCCGCAGCTGCTCACTGGTGCTTAGACTTAGGTTGCTGCTGCAACTGCAGAAGGAATGCAGCTCTCCCAGCCAGGACACTAGCGTTCTGAGCAAAAGTGCAGGAATTCCCATTTTAGCTCAAATCCATGGCCACCTCTTTGCTCCATCTCCCAGGATCCTGGTTGCAAAAGGAGCTTCAATTGTAACACACACAGTCAGCTTATTACATTCCTCTTAACTTGTGGGCTGCGGCTCTGAGCCTCTGATGAAAGAAAATATTGAATTGCACTGAAAAACTACATTTTTTTTTTTTTTTTTTTTTTTTACAGCTCATGTTAGTCTTAGGAGAATTTGCACCTCCCAGACCTTTCCTGCCAGTAAAATTTATGTTTCTTATGTTGTATTCCTTGCCTATATGCTTTATAAAAAGAGCTACATTGTATATGCATGTACTTACACACTATATTACAAAAGAGACATTTATGAGGAACTTCACTTTGGTTAATTTTATAGTGTTTTCTTTATTTCAAGTATATAACCAGTATTTTATCATAATATACAATATGCTCTGAGAAAGCAGAAAAGCTTCCCACTTGCGCGTGGCTTACAGTTTTCCTGAAATTGTTTCGGGAGCCTGTGCCTGCATTGTGGAGATGGGGGATTCCATGCCCATCAGGACTCCCAGGAGGGAGATGCCACCAGTGTGTCATAGAATGGAGATGGGGGAGGTGCCTTCCCTGCGTACAGATCACTCACTCTGGACTTTTAACGGTGGTTTCTTACAGGGTATCTTATTTACTCTTTTCAACAGTCATTGAGAAAGCTTTTGTTGTGCTCACTGCATGGACAGGGAAACAGTCCCAGGACATGCGGTCAGGCCCCAGATCTAGTCCTTTGGACCTGAAATGCAGTGCTGTTGGCACACTGCATGGCGGCCTGTAACGGCCCTTGTGGTGCTGCCTCCTTATGGAGCAGGGTTGCCAGTGTGACAGGCTTCCTGAAGGGTCTGTCCCTGTCCCACAAGCCCCATTGGATCTACCGTAGCAGACTGATTTCTCTTTTGTTTATCGTTTTACAGCTCCACGTGCAAGACTCAGGCATAGAGCCCAGGTGACAAAGCCTGAGGCTCGCACACGATTTTGATAATCCCCTAGGCCAGTTTGGCTCCCCCTGATTGAACTTGTAAAGACCAACTTCACTGTCCTGACGTGGAGTCTATCTGCTGTACCTTTAAGAAGATAAAATTTTCTACTTCCTGTCCTTTTGATTAGTCATCAA